CAATATTCACTCGCTCTCGAAGAGAGAGAGGACGACTCGAAGGGGCGGGGAGGAGCCGCAGCCACGTGGTGAACCGACGCCAACAAGTGTCCAAGCTCTGCAATCCTCTGTGTATGCATGTATGTTGAACTTCTTTCGCACCATACGTGCCAATCGGAGGTGCTGCTATCGACAATTAATGAAGTGGGTTTTTTACGTGGCATGAAACCGGAGCACCCAGGGAAAATAAAAAAACCCACGTGTGCGATGGAGAAACACTGTATCCCACACGGGCGGAATAGGTGGAGTCCACATTTGTGTTGCTGTGCTGTACCGCATTCTCCTGGCGAGCCAGAGTATGGCACCGCCTCGACACCCACGGGAAGAGAGTTTCGCAGGTGACGTGTGTTGCCACTACCGTCCGATGGGGCATCCATCCCAAAAGCAAGGACCTTTTGGTCTGAATCTTGAGACTCAGACTCTCCTGGGTAAACGTACTGGCACGAGTAACTTCACTATCGGTTGCGATGTGATGCCATTTTGTACTGGTGAATGTGTGTATGTCCATGTGCGGACCTTTTGCCAACCCACAACTCGAGCTTGATGATGGGTCATTTGACCATACTTCACCATGCTGGTTGGTGAAAGAGAGGAGCATAGAAATTGGAAGTATGGTACAACACAATGGATTTTGCTGTACTGCGCTCTGCTGACAGCACAGTTCCGCAGCAGCCTATAACACCTGTTTTTTTGCATAGTGGTCGTCCATCCATAGAAGCGCTCTCGGCTCGAAACTGCTTAGCCTCACATATCTGACGAGTTCAGGCCGAGTTTGGATGATTTGGTCATAAGCATTGATGGATACTGTAATCTGAAGTTAAATACTAAGTTTTGAATCTGTTAACTGACACAGTTGATGCGTGATATTGGCGTAATTGCTGAGGCTTGTCAATATCATCTTCACATATCGATACAACACAATGGACACTCGATTAGCGTTGTAAATCCATAACCACTTCATATTTTTATACATGACCTTAACACGTGCCCTACATTTATATATTTCTATGATTTATTTATATTGAAATTATGCGGTTTGTGTGCACTAAATTTGCACTGTTCACTAAAGTAGAGTTAATCTAACCTTAAATTTTTATTTAAAGCTTTCGTGACTGCAGTGATTCATATTCTTGGTTCTTTCGGTAAAGTCACGTTGAAGGGAAACAATAAAATAATAAAATATATATATAAAACAATAAAATAAAATTGTATTGTTTTTAAAATAAAATTGTATTGTTTTATATATATTTTATTATTTTATTGTTTCCCTTCAACTTATTTTATTGTTTCCCTTCAACGTGACTTTACCAAAAGAACCAATAATATAATCTAACCTTGTTCAGAAATGTGTAATCTCGTCATATTGTATTTCGGGAAATCGTGATGGGAGTGCCAGCCGAGAAGAATCAGGACTTATCTGAGAGTACGTCCACCGATGAGATGGAGCCATGGAATCAGCTCGTGTGCATGCAGGTGTTGTTGGGTGGATCGTGAGAGATATGGCGATGACTGACGGAGAGATTTCACCCAGCAGTCGATTGACCATGGCTGACGATAACCAAAACAAAGAACCCCAGTGCAGCCTTTAACAACAGATTGTTGGGGCAAGCGCTGTGAGCAAACAGCGCCAATGACCGGTACGGCACACGAGGGGGTGGGTTGGCCAGCACCACGCCCGACCGCCTTTGTCTCCCTCGCGGCGATTTTTACGCGCCGCACCAAATACTCATTTGAGGCTGAGTCGACCTCGGACAGGAGGCCCAGGACCGGTTCAGAAAATTGTCACCGGTGTTGACCATGAGCGGGATTCCAACTCAGGGCAATAACGATGCACACACACGCGCGCGCGTGTTGTGCTCAATGTTTCTTCACAATCCTGGCTAATCGCCTGATTAAGCTGGTTGTAATCACCAGCGAAACGCCGTACTCAAATTGTACATGTTGTAGGTTTACTCTCCAACTCACCGGCGTGTTGAAGTAGTAGCTAATTGACACGTTTTGTTTTATGTGATATACTTCACCAATTAGCGGTTTCGGATGGTGGCGGTTTTAACGACACATTTATATTTATGCTATCTAACCCAAAAAAACACTTTATTATGGATAATATTGGTCGCGAAAGCCTCTTACTACGTGTTAAACCCTCCACAATGTTGTTCAGGAAAGCATGGATATGTGCGCCACCTAATGGACAATGTATAGCTTAGCTGGGTTTACTGAACGAAGACTGCAGAGTAAGGGGCCACCATTTAGTAGGTACGCAAATATCTGTCAAAGCTTGACCTCTCCCCCCCTCCCTGTACGCTCGCGTACTTTATACACCCCCCCCCCAACCTGCGTACGTACGCTTGACCCCCCCCCCCCGAATCCTATAGAACGGCCGATATTTAATCCACGCAAAAACGATCAAGGATTAAGAATATCAATGTGTTTAAGCAAACAGACAGTCCACCGCCGGCTGCATTAAAGAATTACGTTGCGAGCAAGTGACACCTCTCCCACAGCCCCACTTCTCCCGGCAGTACTTGGTCTGACAGCTGAAGACACTGAACTGTGGCTCATTTGAAGGCCAATGTAGACAAATTATTATCGAGGCTTCACCCCCACTCCCGTTTCCTATGCGTACGTACATTGTCAGTAGACCCCCCATACGCAAGCGTACACATTGGGGTTAACCCCCCCTGCATGCGTACGTATTAAATGGATGGCCCCTAATCAACAGCCCTTTGGTAATAAAGCGGCCAATGAGAAAATAATGAAGCAGTGCCTATGATAATAATTTTCATTTGTCAGGGGTATTTCATTCCAATATCCCCAAATGCGCTACCGTGTATGGGAATCAGGAAATAAACAGAACCTGCAGGTAAAGAAGGCCAATTTGAAGAGGTGACTTTTCAAGACAGACTTAAAGATAGCTAACGGCTCTCATTGGCTATGACCCAATCACCCGAAAATGCGCCCCCATCTCATGAGCTCTCGGAAGCCCGGCAGTGGGTCGAGTCTGGATAGTAGCTGGCATGTGTGACCACCACGCACGCCAAGTTGGCACAGGTGGTTGCGGGTCCGTGTGCTACGTGGTGGGCAGTCCAGCAAAAATAGCCCACGTTGTACTGTGGTACTATGCTTCCACGAGTATGGCCCGGCACCTTGTCAAATCCACAGTGACCAGCGTGGCGAAGTATGGTCACGACCAGTACGGCGCGAGAGAAGTCCTCATCCAGCAGTGGATTGACAAAGGGGCTCTATGTGTACATGTACAATACTATGACGTATGACATCCCAAGTGATCATGAAGATTAACATTTATACTGATGCAGCTCACAGTCGGAAGGTTGCAGGTTCAAAAACTTACTCTTTGGTTCTTTCGGTAAAGTCACGTAGGTAGAAAAATGACAGATCACGTGACGTTTCTATCGCAACACAAGCAATCGTCATCAGGTGGGAGAACCACAGCAATAAAAAAAATGCTGACGTAGGCCTTCTTGCTGTGGTTGTCCCACCTGATCACGATTGCTTGTGTTGCGATAGAAACGTAGTGATCTATTATTTTGTCTACCTACGTGACTTTACCAAAAGAGCCAAAGAGTATGGATTCCTGCAGTCACGAAAGCTTCAAATCAAGGTTCAAAACTTGGTTGTTGTGGGGTCGATACAATTCGTACCACTTTGTGGGTAAGTCAACAGCGGTCGCCGTATGGATAGACTCGCCCCCGCCATATGAATGCGGAATTTCCACTCCTGGCTAATCGGCTGTAAACAAGGGAAGAACAACGTCCGAATGCTCGTTTGAGCAAGTAATAACTTTTGACTGTTTTAACTGAAAGAACAAATTTTACTTTAACCAGAAAAGCCTCGATGAGTCTCGGCGACTTTCCCCAGAGAGGGTCTTGTAAAATCTGGTAAGGCCCTCATCCAGCAGTGGATTGACCAAGCGGCGAGACATGTGCACATCAATCGAGGCTTTTCCGACGTCGTGTCCACTCCAACGGTGCGCTTCATTGTGAACCATACTTCAGCACAATGCTCAGCGCGTGGCTAACGTACGGCGCGAAACATCGCTGTCAACCCCTGATCAGACCAACTCACACCTTAGGGGCCGTCCATAAATGACGTCACGCGATTTTGGACGATTTTTGACCCCCCCCCCCCTCTCGTCACACAGCGTCACAAAAAGGCAGACCCCCCTCAATATGACGTCATAAAGCTCTGCCCCCCCCCCCCCCCAAAATATATATATAAAACATGCTTCAAATCGCTTTAAACTACTGTATTGTCATTGTAGTGCGTGTTTAATGTGCCGCTGCACTCTGATGTTGTAGGAGATAAAATTGATCAGAAAGTATATTTAATTAAGTAGAACGTGTTGTCTATATTTATTTAAAGTTGCGAATTTTGATGTGACGTCACATTTCTCAACCCCCCCCCCTCGTCACACATCGTCACGCATCGTCACAAATGTCTGACACCCCCCCCCCCTCCCTAGGTGCGTGACGTCGTTTATGGACGGCCCCTAATTGGTCACCACGTGCCCTTATAAATCTCAACGTTCATCCAAACAAAGGCCCATCACAAGGGTGAAACACAAACAGACGAAACACATTTTGCCCGTATTGAAACGGCTGTACGCCGTATGGACGTGAAAACTCAATTTCCCTGTACAAGAATACGGGTAAGCCGCATGGGTTGACAGGTATGGTGAACCGACTGGACATCTGTGAAAAAGAGCTTGAAAGCTCATCGGATTCCTCCAGTGTAAATAAAATATTAAAATTCAGTTCGCAGTTAAAGCATGACGTCACAACTGATAAACGTGTGGGGGTAGATTACGTCACATCAAACGCCGCAAATTTCCCAAAACGCATAAGCGACGCTCGCCTGCTGATTGGCTGCGAGCGAGTCCGGTCCATCTCAACCGACCAATCGCGTGCGTCTTTTCCGAGCCCCGCCTACCCCCCGCTTGCTTGTGCGCTCTACGATTTTCCACCCCAGTCTCCGAATTGGCGCCGCCGTCCGTCGGTGTTGGCCACGGGCGTGAGTTTCTCCTCGAAGTTAGGGGGCCACCCCCCCCCCACCACACACACTCCGTGTCCCGCCAGGTTTCTCCCTCAGGTATCCTCATCCTCCCCCCCAACACACCCCGAGGCGCCACGCGCTGTACCGAACGGAGTTGCCATTTCCTCCTCCGCCGTCGACGTGCGGACTTGGGGCCTACGCCGTGAGGCTTTAATCCCAACATCATCTTGTTATGGATGATATTGGTCGCGAAAGCCTTCGTGTTGAATTGTAATTCAAGAGTTGTCTTTATTTACGGCCCCCCTACCCTACCCACCAGCCACTGTGAATGCACTGCTCGATGAAGGTTTAACGAGACTGCGTCGGTCGTGGGTTGGTGGGTGAGTGGGTTTGGTTGTTTGACCATACTTCGCCACATTGTGTCGGGGAAGGCGGTGGGGTCTGGAGGCCACGATTCGGTTATCGTCACTCGCCACTAACGTGGGAGATGTGGATGGGGATCGATTGCCGGGTTTTAGTTCGTGCAGTGTGCGTGCTAAACCATTGGTCTTCTCGCCAAGAACTTCGCCCCGTTTATGATGCGGGTTTTGAAAATTGTCTTGGCGAATGTCCGTGTGTTCAGGAGCTAAACTACCGATGGCGAAGTCTGCTGCTGGCCACGACGACGAGAGAGGGCTTTCAGGAGGGAGAGAATTCGCGTCGTTTTGCTGTTCCTCCGTTGAAGGAGCGCAGACGACAGTGGGTTTACTCCATAGTCCGTAGTTTTAGTACCATGGCCACAATCGCACTACTGCGGCTTGTATTGAATGGGTCAAGAGTATTTGGCTGCTATAAATTAACACGCGATAAGCCACTTCGTTAAGCTATCATTTGTGGCCAAGTCGCTTCTGAAAAATCTGTCAACAGTCGCTCAGTAGGCCTTACCTGGTAAAAAAAAAATAGTTCAGTTGAGCTCTATGTGCCCCAGAGTGTACGGTATGGTCCACAGTTAGCGTTGCGTGGCCACAATCACACTACTGTGGTTTTCCTTTAATTTCCCATGTAAATGGTCTTTACAAATTAAAGGCTCGGTTACAATTAAGGTCACTTATTCCACTTGTACAAATATAATGGAGACGTATAGTGAGGGAAAAAGTATTTGATCCCCTGCAGATTTTGTACGTTTGCCCACTGACAAAGAAATGATCAGTCTATAATTTTAATGGTAGGTTTATTTGAATAGTGAGAGACAGAATAACAACAAAAAATCCAGAAAAAACGCATGTCAAAAATATTATAAATTGATTTGCATTTTAATGAGGGAAATAAGTATTTGACCCCTCTGCAAAACATGACTTAGTACTTGGTGGCAAAACCCTTGTTGGCAATCACAGAGGTCAGACGTTTCTTGTAGTTTGCCACCAGGTTTGTACACATCTCAGGAGGGATTTTGTCCCACTCTTTGCAGATCTTCTCCAAGTAATTAAGGTCTCGAGGCTGACGTTTGGCAACTCGAACCTTCAGCTCCCACAGATTTTCTATGGGATTAAGGTCTGGAGACTGGCTAGGCCACTCTAGGACCTTAATGTGCTTCTTCTTGAGCCACTCCTTTGTTGCCTTGGCCGTGTGTTTTGGGTCATTGTCATGCTGGAATACCCATCCACGACCCATTTTCAATGCCCTGGCTGAGGGAAGGAGGTTCTCACCCAAGATTTGATGGTACATGGCCCCGTCCATCGTCCCTTTGATGCGGTGAAGTTGTCCTGTCCCCTTAGCAGAAAAACACCCCCAAAGCATAATGTTTCCACCTCCATGTTTGAAGGTGATGATGGTGTTCTTGGGGTCATAGGCAGCATTCCTCCTCCAAACACGGCGAGTTGAGTTGATGCCAAAGAGCTCCATTTTGGTCTCATCTGACCACAACACTTTCACCCAGGTGTCCTCTGAATCATTCAGATGTGTATTGGCAAACTTCAGGCGGGCATGTATATGTGCTTTCTTGAGCACGGGGACCTTGCGGGCGATGCAAGATTTCAGTCCTTCACGGCGTAGTGTGTTACAAATTGTTTTCTTGGTGACTATGGTCCCTGCTGCCTTGAGATCATTGACAAGATCCTCCCGTGTAGTTCTGGGCTGATTCCTCAATGCTCTCTTGATCATTGCAACTCCACGAGGTGAGATCTTGCATGGAGCCCCAGGAGATTGACAGTTCTTTTGTGTTTCTTCCATTTGCGAATAATCGCACCAACTGTTGTCACCTTCTCACCAAGCTGCTTAGCAATGGTCTTGTAGCCCATTCCAGCCTTGTGTAGATCTACAATCTTGTCCCTGACATCCTTGGAGAGCTCTTTGGTCTTGGCCATGGTGGAGAGTTTGGAATCTGATTGATTGATTGCTTCTGTGGACAGGTGTCTTTTATACAGGTAACAAGCTGAGATTAGGAGCACTCCCTTTAAGAGTGTTCCCCTAATCTCAGCTCGTTACCTGCATAAAAGACACCTGGGAGCCAAATACTTCCCTCATTAAAATGCAAATCAATTTATAACCTTTTTGACATGCGTTTTTCTGGATTTTTTTGTTGTTATTCTGTCTCTCACTGTTCAAATAAACCTACCATTATAATTATAGACTGATCATTTCTTTGTCAGTGGGCAAACGTACAACATCAGCAGGGGATCAAATGCTTTTTTTTTCCCTCGCTGTATTCCGTCGCTTGTGTTAGCAGTCGGGTTGCCCGCCCCGCCCGACACGAATTGGAGTCCTCGTTCATCTGAAAAAAGGATTCTAAAATCTCTGACTCAAGCGAGATGTCACAGCGCCCTAACTCGTGACCGGCAATGCTCGGTGATCGCGTTAAATCTAGGTTAAAAAGTTAATCTAGGTAAAAAAAGTTAAATCAGATGCGCTTCTGTGGTCGTCTGGAACACTCATCCGATAATAGGAAGCCACTGGAGCTCGCCACTTTTGAATCGAAATTTTAAACTAATTTCTTTATAACTGCTCTTTGTATATTTTGTTGTGCTTCCCCCCGCACCTCCGATTAGCACGGTTGGGTACGAAAGAAGTTGAACATATACACATATACAAACTAGGAAAATGTTGGTCATAGCTCTGGTGGATTACGAGCCCATTGATTTCCACCGAAGTTGATCACAATTCTTGGCTTATTGGGCACCCACCGCTCTAGGTAAAACACATGGGGATTCGGGTAGGCTCTCATTCAGCAGTGGATTAACAAAAGTGATGCACATGTACAAAATATGTTTTTGTACCTGGAAGATTAACATTTGCCACTCGTTGCACTTGACAACAATCGGATGCTCTGCCTGCCCTGGTGTTCCACCCCTGCAGTGACAACAGGTACTGGAAGACTGAGAAAGGAACGACGCAGCCATGACCTCCATCATCAAGCTCACGGCCCTGTCCGGAGTGCAGGATGAGGGCGCCCTCTGCTACCTCCTGCAGGTCGACGAGTTCAGGTTCCTTCTCGACTGCGGCTGGGATGAGAACTTCAAGGCGGACTTTGTGGAAATCCTCAAACGGTAGCAAAGGACCTCTTCAAACTATTCATCACCCCCACCACGGCGATTGTAGATTATCTCGATACAGACCAAGATTCTTTTTTTTCAGTCGGTCACCACTGGTGTTAGCTGTGACCAGGAATCTAACTCAAAGTCACCAGGTTCATAAAACTGTACACTAACCACTCCACCACCGTTCCACCTAAATGATGTACACTTATTCCATGTAAATACCATAATGTATCCTGCAATAATATGTATGTATGATTATGTGCATATATCATTCACACGATAATATTTATGAATAAATTCACCGTTATATTCATTAATGTACAATGCAGTCGAGAGTGTGACAATGTTAAAGTCAGTGACATCTGCTCAAATTAACATTTCGGTGGTGCTCATCTCCTATTTACAGCTCTGAGCCAGTGGTGTACAGTCCTCATTCTTATAGCGGTAGCAAGTCTATCCATAGGACAACCACTGTTGACCTCCCCACAAACTAGTCCCTCTTTTATCAACCCAGAGGCATGATGGGCCGAGTCAAACCCCATATCAAGGATTTGAACTCCCAAACCTTCCGATTCCAAGCCGCTCAATCTGCCGTTGATTTACCTAGCCGCACATGAACGATATTTTGTGATCATGGTTCAGCAGAAGTGTGTGTGTGTGTGGCTACAGGAATCGTTCATACGTATATGTGTGTTGAATATCTTTTGCGCCGTACGTAGCCAACCGTGCTAAACAAGATATGACAGTGGCACGTTCTTTCATCGTGGTGTTTTTTCTCGATTGCAGGCACATCCATCAGATAGATGCAGTTCTTCTCTCGCACCCTGACACCCCACATCTGGGCGCCCTGCCGTTCGCCGTGGGAAAGCTCGGGCTGAACTGTGCCATTTATGCCACCATTCCTGTGTACAAGATGGGCCAGATGTTCATGTATGACCTCTATCAGGTGAAAGCCTTGCATTATAGGCGTCACTGTGCAATACATGCTGGTACATGTCCGTGGATGATGATCACTACATCTGTTCGTTGTGTCTGTAACTTAATTGTACTGTGAACTGTTTGACAGTAATTTCCGAGACAACTTACGTTTCAGGACATTTATTCTCTTTAATGTTGAATTACATTTGTGCTGTCTATTCGATTTCTGTAATTCGGTTGTTATTTATTCTCATGTTTTTATTTGCTTCATTGGTCTATTTGATTAATTTTTATCGTTTTGATGACTCGATTCACTTTTGTGAATGAGGCCATCCCGAGTTCCCACTTGGTTAAATAAATGTCGACTTAAATATTCTTCAACTTCAGTTGCGGATGTTGAAAAAACGTGAGATAATTGTGTCACTTAATGATCTTTTTCCGCAATTGTTTCCACAGTCAAGGCACAACTCAGAAGATTTCAATTTGTTTACGCTCGATGATGTCGACGCTGCTTTTGACAAAATCCAGCAATTAAAGTACAACCAGATTGTTTACCTGAAAGGTTTGTTCTCGTTAAATATATCCTACAATGCTTTATTGATAGGTTATGTAATGTTTCCCTTTTAGAGATTTTTTTTTAAAACTCACGAATAGTACATTTTGACTCGATGGACAAATATATATCATCATCAGCCATGTTTTATTCGCTACGGTGGCGAGATGTTAACTCCCTCGCCTGGTGTGCAGGAGGTCGTGGGTTCGATCCCCAGCTTGACGCATGTATATTTGGAGTTTGCATGTTCTCCCCGTGGTCGCGTGGATTTTTCTCTGGGTCCTCCGGTTTTTCCCTCCATATTTAGAAACATGCGTTTGGAGTATTTGGCTGCTCTAATCTTCCACATGATCAGCCACTTCCTTGATCTATCATTTGTGATCAGGTTGCTTCTAATTAAGAGCTATATATGGCTCAGTGGGCCTTAGTTGGTAAAATATGATAAAAAAATATTCACTGCTTAATGAAGGTTTCCAGAATTGTTCACCATCTCTTAGTCTCATGGTGCACCAATCCACCAGGCTTCTGTCCACGAGATTGAATTGATCTACCACCACGTAGACATCCCCTTTAACGTGTTCCCTCCTTTACCTACCACTCCGTACGTAGTCTCGACCACCAGCCATCATGTTAATCCTGACTGACCCCAACTATGCAGTAATTTCCTGCGCTTCAACCCTGATAGTTCTAAAGACTTGGAGATGTTTAAAGCTATTTCAGCTAGTATTTGGTGTTGTGTTTATCGCGTTCAATATAACGTATTCCTTTTTCATTCAGGCAAGGGACATGGCTTGTCTATAACCCCGCTGCCTGCTGGCCACATGATTGGGGGCACAGTGTGGAAGATTGTAAAAGATGGAGAGGAGGAGATCATCTATGCGGTGGATTACAACCACAAAAGGGAGATGTAAGCTACAGGACATAAACGTACAGCTCTAGCAGCTAATATAAAAGCACACTGTTTACTTGTATTCCATTTTAATGTCAGATTCCGTTATAACTGCTTGTGAATGATTGTATGCTCATCATTTATTAACTGTTCACCTGTTTTTTTTGTTTTATGTAGACACTTAAACGGTTGCGCTTTAGAGACTGTCACAAGACCATCACTGCTCATCACTGACTCACTAAATGCCACATACGTTCAAGCCAGGAGGAAACAACGAGATGAACAGCTGCTAAGTATGTTTCCTTACCGAAGGAACGCTTTATATTTTCATCCCATTTAACATGTTCCATTACACAAGAGTTTGATGTTCGTCTTTGCATGCGTCACTTACGAGTTTGTATACTGGTGTTGTCTATTGGAAAGTTATAAAAAAAATTAAAGCATGCCACTCGCAATTGGAACGTTGCCGGATTAAATCGTGCGCGGTGGTCGACTCAAACTTTTATTTTTTCAGGGCTGATAAATTGACTTTCCACTCTAGACTTGAAGTTTTCGTGACTGCAGGGATCCATACTCTTTGGTTTTTTTGGTAAAGTCATGTAGGTATAAAATAAAATAAATTAAATCTTGTAAAGCTTGTGTTGCGCCCGAAACGTCGTGATTTAATTTATTTTATACCTACGTGACTTTACCGAAGGAACCAAAGAGTATTATTTTCCACTCTGCTTGGAAGTCAACAGTGATTATCCTGTGGTTGTATTCATTGTTGCCACAGCAATTTGGAATTTCCACCGCTGGCTCAGAGCTGTAAACCGAGGATGAGCACCGTCCCAAATTTCTTTGGGCAAGAAACGTCTATACTTGGAAGCATAACAGCCATGCTGCCTCAGTGTAATAGTACAAGAGCTACAGATCGGTGGAATGAAAGAGAGCCTAACAGGAGATTTGGATGAGAAAGAGCTGTGGATAAGAGATACAGATTTACACTTTTGTGCTGAGCAGGCCCCTCCGTTCTCATGGAGGGGTCTTGTCTGTCATGTCATGCAACCTGGCAGCAGTTGTTTTAGCCGGCCTGACTGATGATTAGACTAAAAGTGGAAGCCGGCCTTGAGAGAGTTAAATTTGCTGCTAAAAAAAAGAAATGGGATTTTGAAAACGCTTGGGCTGTTTGATGAAAATGTTATTTTTACGTGGTTAAAAACTGTCCACTAGTTTGAATGTATTACTCAGTATAGTAGAAATTACTTTGTTATTAATGCAATCATTAAGTGATTGTTACTTGTCATCGTTAGTTGTTGAATGTATGAGCGACAATTATTATGAACCCATACCTCCCTTGAAGACAGACTGCTTGAATTGGCTGTCGCCTGATTTAAACAAAATAACCTACTAAAATGTTTCCCAATTATATCCTGCTTTTTCATTCAGCCTCATGTCATGAGAAGAAGTATATTTTCAGATAATTCCGATCCTCCCACACCTCCAATGAGCCCGCACCTCCAATTAGCACGGTTTGCTCGGTACGGTGCGATAGAAGTTCAACATACATACATATTTCGCGGAATTGCCCACACGGAAGCAGATATAAAAAAAAATATCTCTTGAGATCCCCTTTTCAGTGACCTGCGGACTCTCACCTGCCTTTAAATGCCAATGTGTAAAACACGGGCCGCGTTTTGTAATGCCCCGTGTTCATATGTGCGCGTCCCCGCAGCGAACATCCTTGAGACGCTGCGTGGGGACGGCAACGTGCTGCTTGCCGTGGACACGGCGGGTCGCGTGCTGGAGCTGGCCCAGCTGCTCGACCAGATCTGGAGGACCAAGGACGCGGGCCTGGGAGCGTACTCCCTCGCGCTGCTCAACAACGTCAGCTACAACGTCGTCGAGTTCTCAAAGTCTCAGGTCCGTGCCGTTTGTTCGGACGACCCCGCATCCTCTTTGTGCTTTGGGTTCGATCGCCTGCGTCATTTGTTTTTTCCTTCCTTCCCCCTATACTCGATCGTTCTCTTCTGCACGGGTGTGACAAACGCGCTCCCGTGTTTTCTCAGTCGCGTAAAGATCGATGGCTCAATTCTCATGGTGAATGTCTCTTTTAAGTACAATTTGTGTGCGAAAACACTTGTACGTCTTGAAGAGCGAGAGTAGACCAAATCACCGATATTCAGGGCTCTTTAAACTGGTGGCCCGCAGATCTATAGCCCGCCGAAATATATATGGCTTTGAGAGACATGATGAGAGATAGACATTAGTGAGACGAAAGAGAGCTTAACAAGTTAGAGGGATGAGGGACCCGAACACACGAGCTCCAGATGAGTGATCACAGGGTACAGATGTTATGATGTCAGAGGCATCGTGTGATGTCAACATCTGTACACAAGACATTTAGACATCGCATGACACTATGACGCCGTGCGGCCTCTCAGCGCACACACACTAGTTGCGTTGTTACCCACGAGAAAATAAAGTGGCAGAACCCTGACCTAGTGTCTCAGCGGTTTTAACGTCCGTACACGCGACACATACGACGTTCAGACGTCGCGTGACGCTTTGACATAGCGTATCCTGCCAGCGCGCACATTTAGTATTATTACGTGGTCCATCGAAAGACACATCATTAAAAGAACCCTGACGCCGAGCGTCTCCTTCTGTCTTGAGCGGCCACGTATGTGAACCTGTGTACCCCCCCCCCCCCACCCATGCATCGTCGACCACAGGTGGAGTGGATGAGCGACAAACTGATGCGGTGCTTCGAGGACAAGCGCAACAACCCGTTCCAGTTCAGGCACCTGTCCCTGTGCCACAGCCTGGCCGACCTGGCCAAGGTGCCGAGCCCCAAGGTGGTGCTGTGCAGTCAGCCCGATCTGGAGTGCGGCTTCTCGCGCGAGCTCTTCATCCAGTGGTGCAGCGACCCGAGGCACTGCGTCATCTTCACGGCCCGCACCATGCCAGGCACGCTGGCGCGCACGCTCATCGAGAAGCCGGGACTGCGCCGGGCAGAGCTGGAGGTGAGGTTCGCATTTGCGTTTGGGGCGGAGGGTGGGGAGTGTGGATTTTAGCTGTGAACTTGCGTGGCTGCCATCGCATGCTCTGTGTGTGTAGGTACGTATGTGCTTACGCGTGTTGAACTTCTTTCGCGCCGTACGTAGCCAACCACGCTCCTCGGTGGCGGTCGTGGTTAAAATTATGGTTGACAATAAACTTTGGGTTAGTGTATGTAGCGTGGTTTAATGGTTAGCACATTGGACGTGCAATCCAGAGGTCGCCGATGCCTTCTCCCGGCATGACAGTTGAAACACTGTTGCTTAAATCCATACCCCCCCTTGTTTGTCTGTCCGCCCAGTAAATTGGAACACCACAGTCGATCGGCTGGTTTCTGTGTGTGCGGTGGGGTAAAGTGTGGGTTCTCACAAGATGCCTGGCCAAGTGTTAATAATGAGACAAATATTCACCGTGATGATATCCGCATTTTTTTCTTATTCAGATACGCAAACGTGTCAAGCTTGAAGGTAAAGAGCTCGAAGAATATATGGAAAAAGACAAAATAAAGAAAGAAGAAGCGAAAAAGCAAGAGCAAGCCAAAGAGTGAGCAATTAAAAAATATATATATCTTTTCCCCAGGGTTTATGCCTCTTATGCCATACTTAGCCACCGGTGCTAATTGGTGGCATGTCGTGAGACAAATTATACTTTCGCAGAGCAGCCGGGGACCCCTGGTTGTTAAAGAACTGCCCCACAGCAGCAGAGAGCACAGCGAGCTACATCTGATGTCTCTTGAAGTGACCACAGGTCCACGCAGTAGGGGGCAGTTCGCTTGGCCAAGGACAGTGACGTTTGGCACGTGACAGCGACGGCGATTTATTTAATTGTCAGAGCATCAATTTGGCCGAATTAAGGGCAGAACCACATTTTGTGCGATGGGGTGTTCATTGTAAAGGCAGCCCCCCGGGTTACGGAAGGGTTAGGTTCCCGAGAACGATCCGCAGCCCAAATTTTCCATAGGAAACTGAACAGAAACTGAACAATTTTCCCCCAAAATCAACGATAAAATCTCAAAGCCGGAAATGGTTGTGCCTCTCCTTCCCAATTACTAGGTTCGTTTTATCTCGGTACCGTGTTGTGCTGTCCTCCATTTTCTATCGCTAGCTGTACTGTATCGCTGTACATACGCTCTGCACTTCCTACGATTCTTTCATTTAATCGAATATCTACCCTAACACTACCCATAATTAAACTAATGGAAAATATACTGTTTCCAACTGTTTATGAATACCACGAAACATTTTCATATGAATTGTTGTTCGTTTACCGTGCATGAGGCTAGGCCTCGACTTCTCCGATCGCTGTTGGCTGAGACCGTAAGCAACCTAAGCGTAATTGTGTTTAAAAAAAGTACACACGGTAAATAACTCATGAAATAAACTTAAAATGAAGAAAACTAGCAATGGAATAACAGACGGTTCTAAGCGTATCAAAAAACAATTACGTAATGCTACAAAAGAAAAGGGATTACATAGCGCTGCAAAAAAATCCATTTACCTTAGTCCTAGTGACGCTCGGCGAAGGTGGCGTTTTGTCGAAGCTCCGCGGTATTCATCCGCAGCCTCACGGCGCCGCACTATTTGCGCTTACGTAACTAATGCCAACATTTACTCGTGTTGAACAAAAAAAAAAGTCATGATTTTTGGGAGCATTTCCGTAAAGTCGGATTTCCATAAGTCGGGTCTTCCGCAACCCGGGGACTTGCTGTACAGTCGAATGATCAGGCTAAGAACTAATCAACTCGCTCTTCGTACGAGTGAGAAATATTAACGTTGCCTTCAAGGGTCACACATTTTGCACCAAATAATTTAAATGGATGGTGGCGAGTGGTCTCGCAATTATATTGCAAACTTATCAGAAATGTGCGGGCGACCCATCGAACGTTTTTCTGCCGATAGCTGTGAGCCGCTCGTCGCAGACCGCCGCTTGCGCATGCCCAACCCCCACCACCCCCCCCACCCCCCACTCCCACCAGCCACCCCCAAGAGGCATCGCTCAGTCGGCCTGGTTTTGATCTAATGTGTCCGAACGCGTCGGTGCAGCGATGATGAATTTTCGAGCGACGACAGCGACTTGGAGGGCGACATGGAGTACCAGCCAGCGGGCAAGGCCAAACACGACTTGATGATGAAGAGCGAGAACAGTCGCAAGGGCAGCTTCTTCAAGCATGCCAAGAAGTCCTACCCCATGTACCCATCGACGGAGGAAAAAATAAAGTGGGACGACTACGGAGAGATCATAAAGTAAGGGCGCGCCGCTGTGATTCGATACCTTGCCTGGAAAACGGGAGGTCGTGCGTATGATCCCGACCTTGACGCCTGTATATTTGGGGTTGGCATGTTCTCTCTCCCCATGTTCATGTGGTTTTTTCTCCCGAGCCCTCCAATTTTTCCCTCCAGTTTTTCCCTCCACGTTCAGAATCGGCGTGCTTTTAGAGTATTTAGCTGCTCTAAATTTCCACCTAATAAGCCACTTCGATTAGCTATCGTTTGTGGCCAGGTCGCTTTTGAAAAAAGAGTTATATAGCTCAGCGGGCCTTACCTCTGCAAAAATAAAAAGAAATTATCTTAGATTCACTCGCTCCTTCATGGATTTATTGAGAAACATTCGCACGTCCATGTCGGTAAATATCGAATACGAGATTGTCGTATTCTAGCAAATGCAGTTGGTGTACGGATGACGCAGTGTTGTCGTGGTCAGCACACTGGACTTGAAGTCCAGAGGTCACTGGTTCGGTTCGAACTCCCGGCGCGGCAGTTGAAACAACGGTGCAAGTTTTTTCCGAATCTCCCCCGCACCCCCCTCCTCCCGTCTTTGTCCACCCAGCGGTGTAAATGGGTATTCGGCAGTTTGTTTATTGGCAGGCCGTGTGTGATGGGGTAAAATGTGGGGACTCCCACCTCTCCCAAGATATCTGGCCAGCATGGAATACCCTCTGGAGGGACTCTCCAACTGCCTCCTTTGACCAGCAGTTGCACGAGAAAGCATTTGCAGGGCTGCACTTTTACATTTTACTCTAGGTTAATATTCGTCAAGTATACAATAACACTTTGCGCTGCCAGATGTAGCATATGCATTAGGAAACTGCATGCATTAATATAGTTTCCATGAATACATTTGGGCTGTTAAAGTGGCAAAATATATGTGTGCTATGACCATATATGGCCAAATCACCCGGGATGCTCCCGATGTTGTCAAATCTCAGAACCTAAGCAGGAGTTTAACCTGGATAGTGTGTGTGTATGGGTGACCACCATGCATAACAGCTGTTATCGGAGCTTATATGGTTTCCTTGGCTGGTAGCAGAGGGACCGTGCAGTACAAACTCCGTTGTGTCTTCGTGTGTGCACAGGCCCGAAGATTTTTTCATGCCTGAGTTGCCAAGCGTGGATGAGGACAAGGGGGTCGAAGCTCATCACCAGGCGGAGGAGGCCATGGAGCAGGACCTGACGGATGTGCCCACCAAGTGCATCTCCAGCAGCCACACGGTCGACATTCGGTACGCGGCGCTGCGCCCTCCACACTACATTGTGAGCATTCAGATGCGCTCCTGAGGCCGTCTGGAACGCTCTTCCGATATTAAGAAGCCACGAGAGCGATGCGCTTGTAAACCTAGATTAAAAACTCATTTTTTTAGAACTGCTTTTTGTGTTTAATTTGTTGTCCTTCCCCCACACCTCCAGTTAGCACGGTTGGCTACATGCAGTGCGAAAGTTCAGCATACATACACACACACACAAAAGACTCATTCCCTCCCGATGCTGATTGAAAATGTCCCCCTCGCTTTCTGTCCTGCCACTTTTCTTCGTACGGCATTTGAAAAGCTGCTGATGTGAAACGTTAAAATTTGTACGCCGAGCGCGGTAATTCATTCGACGGCATCGCTAGTTGCCTGATGTACGTATGGCGTCCGTACCTCCTGTGTAAGCGAAAAATATGGCAGTGGTCGGGTAGGCCTTGTCACGCTGACGACACGGTTGGAATACGTTTCATGAAGGCTGTGGCCAAACAGCTCAGGGGCGTTCGTGCCATGTCATTGCACTGAATTGGTACCGATAGGCTCGTGAATCCTAAGCGACGTTTCAGTCAGCCGCAATATAATTTGGCCATCAATCGTGATAGGTTGATCGTCTCGGCCACAGGTCATCCATGAGCGCACACAAAAAAACGAAGACGTTCTGTAGCGGATCGTTGCGGCAATTGCTGTTGACAAGCACCTGTTAAGGCCAGCACTGCTCACGGGGGCATGGTGTGGCCAGGATGACACTCATATATGATGTCTCTTTAAGCTACTATGTTTTATAATCTACGCATTCCTCTTCACATATGTCAGTGTAAGTTAAAGCATGCACACTTCCGCGTGCTTCTTCTGTGTACTTATCAGCTATTGTGCCAATTTTTTTTGTCAATGTTTCTGTACCAATACAGTGATGAAAGGCAGACAACACACTGATTAAAAAATATTGTTCTACAGGCACATTGTCATATCGCTCCTTGGTGTACACCACCAGAGCGGGTAATGACCAAATTGTATAATTATTACGGACCGTCATTGACGTCCTTAAAATTATTACTGTTGTTGTCAGTGTGCTTAAGTCGAAGTGCAATTATACAATTTTTGTGTGCGTGTGCAAAACCCTTCGTGTTCCGTTGGCCTTCCCTTCCCCCGCTGGCTTCAAGGGCCAAGTTGATCTACATCGACTACGAAGGGCGCTCAGACGGCGAGTCGCTCAAGAAGCTCATCAGCCAGATGCGCCCGCGCCAGCTGGTGATTGTGCACGGGCCGCCTGACGCCACACGTCATCTGGCCGACGCATGCCGTGCGTTCGGCGGCAAGGAGATGAAGGTGTACACGCCGAGGCTGCACGAGACGGTCGACGCCACGAGCGAGAACCTCATCTACCAGGTGTGGCGTGCCGGGCGTGCGTGCTGTGCCGTGCGCGCGCGCGTGTCATCGGTGCGTCACCGTGGGTACAATTCCAAAAGAAGTTCAACATACTAAACTATGCTATTTTTATTTTACTAGGTAAGGCCCACTGAGCTACGTAGCTCTTTTTCAGAAGTGGCCTGGCGACACATTATAGCTCAACAAAGTGGCTTATCACGTAGAAATGCTTCGCAGCCAAATACCCTAACACATGAAGTTCATTCTAAATGTGGAGGGAGAAGCCGTTGGACCCGGAGAAAAATCCACGCGACCACGGGGAGGACACGCAAACTCCAAAGATACAGGCGTCAGGGTCGGGATGGAACCCACAACCTCCTGTATACCAAGCGAGGTCGTCAACATCTCGCCATCGTGGCACCCATACGTACATACGTCAGCATCGCCAGGGCTGTGACGCCGGCCGGCGGTAGCAAGTTCGGCCCTTATTGCAGAAATTCACGGTTCGAATCTGGCGATCACCCCAGTTAGTACTGCGTTGCATATATTCATCAACAAATCCTACGCGCCGTCTACTTCGCAGCGGACGTTGAAGATCCCCCTGACGTCATTTGCAAGGGTAGGCCAGTGTGTGGTCCAAAAGTGTATGGTTTGAGGAATTGTTCTCAAATTGCTCGAATGGGATTACACGCACAGCAAACACCGCCCTCTGCGGTGAACACTTGGCAGGACCCTCTCAAAAGAGCGTCGTGAGGGGCTTTCCTGTGTGAACAAGCGTACTACCAATAATACTGATTATAAACCATTAATATTTGCACCAGTGCCTCTGATGCAGTACATTTCGAGGTGACTGGGGACTCCCCCCCGGTGGTAGCTGTTCCTGTGGTGGCACAGGGTGAACGCAGCAACAGGCTGCAAGTGGGCATTCTTACGCCCGTTGGGTCATTTATAACATTTAAAAAAATGTCGAGACATAACCTACCCTTTTTCCAATAACGCGAAACGGCTTTTGACGTCCACTGCAGAGTGCGCGGCATGTAGTTGTTACAATTAACACACCCGCTGTTAACCGGGGCGGCCGTTGAGGGATTCGAACTTGGGAAACTTTGCAATAAGTGGCATACACGCCATCGCCGGGCCTGCAAATTAGTTTTCTTCTTTACAACGCTCCTGTTGACATTATTTCTGCGGTGAAGAGCAGTGTGTATACTTATCGTGCTGTTCACTGTAAAATCCAAGGCTCCGTTTGTGGCAAGGAAGACCATTTTATTCTTCTGACGATGAAAGATTTTTTTTATTACTGTTTGTGCACAGCGTCTTGAAACGCGATCGCATTTAGATGCTATATAAATGTAAATTGCTGTTTTGTTATTGTTGAGACTGGGTGTGATTTTTGGACAGTGCGAGCAGAAAAAGCAAATTTGTTCCCGCAGAAACACGCCACGACCCGCTCTGAGGAGTTCTCACTTACGTTTTATCATTCTTTTATACTTCCAAAGCGTAGCATTTCGGTTGTGAACGATGATAATAGGCTAGAGCCATAATGCAATGGGTTGCGCATTGTGCTTTGAACCCGGTAACCCGAGTTCGATTCCCAGCTACACTAAAATTGGTGGCTTGTACTGCCTAAACCGGTCCTGGGCACCCCCCAACCCGCACTAACTAACCCTCACTGACCAGCACGCTGAAGTGTGGCCAAACAACCCCTGTGATCAAAACAGCATGGAATGAGGGATGGGTCGGGGTTGGGGGAGGCCTTAATATAACAGTGCATTGACAAAGGTCTGCAAAGAAATGTTATAATTTATAATCGTGATAGTTTATTTGAGCTCAACAATCACTGCAAAATAGACATCCTGGTCAAAAACGACGTCCGGCTCGACGAAACACACTTGACGATTTTATATTTGTATTTATGCCCGTGCCTACTTTTCCCCCAAGGTGAGGCTCAAGGACTCGCTCGTGAGCTCCCTGCGCTTCTGCCGTGCACGGGACGCCGAGCTGGCGTGGATCGAGGGCGCGCTGGACCTGCGGGTCGCGCGGGTCGACACGGGGGTGGTGCCCGAGGACGGGACGCCGCGCGACGACGAGAACGCGGCAGCGGCGGCGGCGGCGGCGGCGGCGGCCGGCACCTCGGCGGGCGGCTCCGGCGAGGCCATGGAGGTCGATCGCCCGCACCGAGCTGCCGCCCACGAAACCGAGGCCGCCCCCGGCATCGCGGGCCGCTCTCAAGCGCAGCCCCTGGCCGGGCTGTTTATCGACGAAGATGCGACGACGGCGGCGGCGGCGCGCGTCGCCGTCGGCCCCGAGGAGGGCGACATCATCCCCACTCTGGAGCCGCTGCAGCCGAACGAGGTGAGGCTCCGGCATCGGCGGCGAAAGCCTCGAGGCAACGCGACGGCGGTGGCGAGGTCGGTTGGTGGCGGCCGGTTCTGAGTTTGTGGAGGATTCGACGGGGCAGTTGCGTGGCGGGGGGTAAACTCCCCTGCAGCAATGACTGAGGGCGGAAAAGCGACGCTCGCGACAACGAGCAAAGCGCTGGGCGGCTAAAACGCGGGTAGGCGCAGTGGAGTGCACCGATGTATGGTACATTTGCCAGTCATCTCCGTGAACCCGTAGCACCTTGGGCCGCTCCGTTGCCCTGCCAGTGATTCTACATTTCACATACACCGAGCCTAGCACAAGCGCGACGGTGACGTCTCACCGTCACGAATGGTGGCTGTTGTCGCCGCCGCTGCTGCTGCTGGTGGCGGTTGTGAACGCCGTCCGTTCGGCTGCCGTCTTTTTTGTCTCCCAGGCGCAGGACCACGCGGCGGTGTTCATTAACGAGCCGCGCCTCTCCGACTTCAAGCAGGTGCTGCTGCGAGAGGGCATCCAGGCCGAGTTCATTGGCGGCGTGCTCGTGTGCAACAACGTGGTGGCCGTTCGCAGGGTGGGTTGCTCTGGTTTCTTTTACTGCCTTTCCCCCAATCGTGGGATTTGGTGTTATTCATGCAATTTGAACTATTGTGGTTTTTTAGTGATTTTTCTCACCTCTCCTATTCTTTACACTCCTATCGTTTTCTTGTTTGTCGTAACTTTCTGAGCTGCCCCTACTTGGACTTCTGTAAAAAAAAAAAAAAGAGCTTCATAGCTCATCGGATTTCTCCGGGATAAAGATTCTGATTTTGAGTGCTGCCTCCCCCCTCCACCTGCACCCCGCTGCCTCTCGCCCTTTTCTCTCCACGGTATTGAACTCCCACCTTGCCTCCCCCCAATCAAGAACCACTTACTCCCCCCCAGCCCCAGATACACACCGAAGGTTATTAAGGCCACAATAGAGAGTGATCACATGGCCACTGTTCTATTCAATACAGTGTTAGGCACATGTTTAACCTGTATTAGTGTTTTTTGTGATTGTTAGACGTGTTTCACGTGTATTAGAAACAGGTTATTCGTTACTTTAGAATTGCTTTTTGTGTTTAGTTTTTGTTTCCATTTCCCACACTTCCGATTAGCACGGTTTGCTACGTATGGTGCGAAATAATATTGACATACATACATACATAGTTCGTATATTTTCGCATAGTAAGGCATGTGCATCATGTGTATTCGTGTTTTGTGACGGCAAGGCAAGGCACGTGTTTCGTGTTGTATAGCGGTGTCTTTCGTGTTAGTAAGGCATGTGGTTCACGTTGAGTATTCATGTTTTAGCGCCGTACTGTGGCGCTGACATCGCCTGCGCACATTCATCATTTCTCCTGCACGGTATCCATGCCGCAGCCTGCGCCTCTATTCCCTGAGAACGGCTTTCGTGCCCCCTGACCCACGGGCTGAGACCCACAGCGCGAGCCTCTCTGGTTTACGTCTGCCGGATTCAAATTCTTGCAACCCAAGAACGTTTTGCAAACGGCTGTTGTGGGCACGCCTTGTCTTCCTTTAGTGGACAGCATTCTTGCAACACTGCTAATGCCCCGTTTCTGCTTGGAAGTTCTTCCCCTCTGATTATAAATTTTAATCAAAACCGGCAAGCTTATTTGGGGAACCGAGAAAACATTTACATTTAATTGTGCTTTCGTTTTATTTTTGTATCATTGTTCAATATATTTTGTCCTAATCTAAATTACGTCCATTTATTTAATCATTGTGCAATTTTTCTCATTTCTATGAATTATATATCTTCACTTTGAACCTTTTGTCCATTACCAAATGATTGGATTTGATGTCACCCAGGGGGTCACCTTTGCAAACAAGGCCACTTTTTCACATTTGTCTTAACTGTGTTCGTTTCATCTTCTGATGAAAAAATAAAGATTGGATTGCATGTCTTAGGATAATATATCACCCCCATTGCATTCATCTGCCCCCCCCCCCCCGGCTTGGCGCATGGCAGGGTCGTTTCTATTCCCAGCACGGCAGAATATTCTCCCTTTGCAAATGGCACCAGCCGTGGTAATCAAACCAGGCTCAAGTGGCTACCCTTGTGTTTGTTGCTTGTGCCGTGCTGTGTGGGGATAGCAATGGTTGTTAGCACTGCACTGCGCTACGAACCCGGCTACCCGAGTTCGATTCCCACCCGGATGCCCCCCAACACCCGTGATGATTATCTGAACCGGTGTACTGGGCATCCCCGCGATGGACTCAGCATTAACTGAGTACCTGCAGCGGTGTGTAAACGTCAGCCCCTGGGGAGACAAAGGTGGCCCGGTCGTGGTGCTGGCCATCAACCCCGTCCATGTGCCACGCCGGCCTTCGGAGGTACTACTCGCTAACAGCCCTTGCCCCAACAGTTTTGTAAAGGCTACACGGGGGATCTTTGTCTTTGCAGACGGAGGCAGGCCGCATCGGCCTGGAAGGATGCATATGTGAGGACTACTACAAGATCCGCGACCTCCTGTACCAGCAGTACGCTATTGTGTGACCTCTCTGGCTCCGGTCGCTGATGGTGGTGATGCCGAGAGGGCCGTTTTAGTGGCGCGTCCACTCCCCTTGCGTGACGATTGTCTTCGTACTTTTGTAGTCTCCCCATCCCGAATGTAAATGACCGCGACGCGAAGCCGTGGATCGTAACGTAGGGTAAGCTTTCGGAGAAAATGCCAGTTTTTTTTTTATTGCGAGCGTTTTTGACAATTATGACAGGGAGACGTAGGTCACCGTTCGTCATAATTGGCCGTTCAAGGAATGCTTCTGATAGTGGATATGATTTTAACCGAAGGCGATTCTTGTGTACAGTTAAACGTATGTTTCCCGCTATTCGCTGGACAGGTCTGTCGAGGATGGTCCGTGGAATTGGAATACAGAATACATATTTTCACAGCTGCCAATGTTTCCTTTTCCACCTGTACAAATAAAACAAATGCATCCATGTAATGACGCTTGCAACTTGATTTTAATACCATTTGCTGTTTGTAATCAATACATTTCCTGCTGTTGGTGATGTTAACGGCAGTGAATATACTGGTAAAAATTGAAGTGTTGCATTAATTTATTACGTGCATATTTACAACAGCTCACTCGCTCCTTCTCGATATCAAATGTGGAATTTCCACCGCTCGCTCGGCTATACACGGGAGATGCCTCCATGCTCACTAAAGCAAGAAGATAATATCCAACGACAAAGATTGCATGGCCATTGGCAGACGTAGCTTGGCCCGATTTGCTTTGTCAACTTATTTATTTTGGCCAGGAAAACCTCACTGAGTCTCAAAACTCTTCTTCAGGAGGGTCCTGCCCAGTTTTTGCAGTCGGCGGGTGACGTTGCTGTCATGGCAATTGAGTAATTTGCAGGGAATGTTTCAATATTTAGGTGTTTGGTCATTATTTTTTCTTATGGGATGAAACGGGAGAACCCAGAGGAAACACATGCAGAACAGGAGGAGAGCGTACAAACTCCACACGCAGAAAGGTGCCCGAGTCGGGAGTCAAACCCAGGACCTTCCTGTTGTGAGGCGTCAGTGTTAACACTCGTGCAGGGTAAATGTTCCGAGGACCCAGACCAGGTATTTCTCCAGTTGGTGCCACTTGAGGTGGCATATATGTCCAATAACAGTGAATCACGTGATAACCGTTTGAAATGAGTGGCGTTATCAAGTAATTCACTCTCGTATTCACCATGTAAATATATCGGTACTACGAAAGCTTTGCTCCTCTATGTGGTACCGATTTCTGCTCTAACCCATGGACGAAATGGTAAGTTCGATTATATCTGAAAAGTTTCCAGAATACGAAAAAGGTAGCAATGCTGTAGAGAGAGAAAGGTTGACTTTCCCTGCCCACTTTTGTCACGAGACAGGACTTCGTTTTTTTCTCTAGAGGGCAGCAGCACATGCTATGCATCTGTTGTCTGGGCTGCTCTCTCGCAAATAGCCAATCTGCCGCTCCTCGCCAGTGTCAAACGTTGCAGCGGAATTGACACACGGTCCCCTTTCGCCTTTCACAAGTATCAACTCGATCATTTTTGCAATCGAAGTTTAAAAAAAAAGGTGTGTGGGCATTTCCAGTACGGCGGCTGCTTCCAGCCGTGTTGTTCTTCACGATTGGTACACATCCAGGTTATGGGGTGAACGTTTTCTCCGGTGCACGAATCTCACCTTTGTTGGACCGCGTTGATCGCTTAAAGGTTAAATGGGATTTGCCGTTCGCACCGCCCGAACAGGTGCTTGGCTTCTGGAGCTTCTTTGCGACTTGTTTTAGGCAGTTGTTGTGACTGCAGCTCCCCTACCTGTTAAGTCTGTGATCTCAATGAAAAATATGAGCACTGATGCAGTGCTTATCTCAAGTATACAGCCCTGAGCCAGTGGTGGAAACCCCACCTTATGGCGGGTGCGAGTCTTGTCAAGTAGGATAACCACTGTTGACGTGCCCAAAATCTGGTACTAATTTTGTCGACCATGTACGGATGATGGGCTGAGTCAATCCCCATCAGGATTGCACTCTTAACCTTACAGTCTGTCACCTTGCTCAACATGTGGTATGACACAAAATATTTAATATTCTCACATACAGAGCATTCGTCATTGTCTGAGAGCTGCCTCCCATATCGATATGCACTGGTATGTCAAGACTTACTCTCAGTCCCAGTACCCTTTGTACTTAATGATAAATGTCCGCATAAATAATGCATTGTAAAAAAATATATCAAACTTGTCTCTTTAAATCTCGTCAAAAGCCTTGTTGTACGGCTACTCTCTACGTAATGTTTAAAATTCCATCTACGACATGCATTTTAACGTAGTGTGTGTATCTTAAATGATGCGATTGTGAATCCTTCGCAGCCTTTGTTCTGAATGGAAAAAGACTACAGCCGGTACTGTTGATGACAACAGCAGTACTGTAGATGCCACCACAGCTCATCGCTTCCTTTTGCTCGACCAGCGGGGTGGCCATCTGGCGTCTCCCCGAGCAGCATGCGGCTCTATCGAAGGGTCATAACGTAGAACGTACTATTACAGTAGTAGCAAAGACAAAATGAATGTCTCCCCTGCTGTGCCCAAAACTCGCTATATTTACACACACACACGCTTTTATATATATATACACTTGGCTGTTTGCAGAACTCTTGGGGTACGTGTTGTCTCTTGGTGTGTTATAGGTTGGCTGCCCCATGTGCTAGACCCTCCAGCGATTGCATAATCGAAACCTGACCTGTTCCAGTGTTCTTCCATCTGGCTTTTTAGGTCTTCCCCTTGCTCGATCATCCTCTGGGTGCCACTGCAATGCCCCACCCGTCTGGGTAACCTGCCCCGCACCCTGTACATCTGTACCACCTATTGCAATCGCCCTCTAATTAGGTACATGTACACTGCTTTCTTGCCACGCATTTTGAACTCGCAAGTTGCTTAACCCATCGTGCCGTGAATTCCTAGCATCGCGTGCCTGTAATTCAAAGGCCACTCGCCTGTTTTACAGTGCAGCCTGTGTTAAGCATGGAATTGTCAAACCAACCCTTGGCTCTCCATCGCTTCGAATATAGCATCTGATGTGCAACGTCTCGATCTTGTCTCGCGTCAGCAGCCACGGAAACATTCTGAATGTGCCCAGGCGTACCCTCGCCCTCTTGCCCACATTCACACGCCGTATTTGTCTCTCTGACAACGGACGGACGCATACCCGCATCCCGCATCATGTCCTAACATGCCACCCTCCCCTACCCACCTCCGCACGAAACCCACTCTCGCAGCCGACGGTTTAACCCGTTAAGGCAGCAGCAACAAACACGGGGACAATCTCTTTCCGCGACGTTAAATTCCCCCATTCAGGTATCTTGTCATTTCGCGTGGCCGCGCTGGTGCGGACGCGTCGCAGGAGACGTGGTATATCGGTTCACGTCGCGCTATAGGATCGCATTACACGCCAGCCTCTGTGCCCCGTGACCTTATCCATTCTGCGCCAGAAGCCGTTCAATTTCGCAGTTATTTTTGGACCGCGCTTTTGTCCGTCCGTCACCCCCCCCCCCACTCACTGAAACGACGCATCCCGGGCTGCGAGGCGAATCGTCGCCCTTCCCGGCGCCGCGTCGCCCTTCCCGCGGTGTCTGTCCCCGGGTCCTTCGTCCTCTCCGGCGACCGTGACCTTCACGTGTCGCGTCGCGGGGAGGGCGACGAAGCCAGCCCCTCTTCCCCTCCCCTCCTCCCGTATGGCGCTCGGCACAGAGGAGCTGGCACGGCTCCCTCGGCTCGCCTCCGACCAGGACTCAATATGTCCTGGGTTTGCGAATCAGATTTGTGTTTTTATATATATATAGACTGGAGGAATCCTACGATTTGCAAAGCTTTTCTTTTCACAGATGTCCAGTAAGGGGCTAGTAAAGGACGTTACAACAGCAAACTACGATAGGAGTGCAAAGTATGGGAAAGGTAAACAAATCACCAAAAAAAACATAAAAATAAACCCACCCCCATCCTACCAGGCCAAGCCCACTGACGACCCGCGACTCGCAGCCGCAGCAATCGACGAAGGGGGGGGGGGGGGGGGTTATCCCGGTTGTGGGTGAGTGGGTGAGCCGGGTGTGAAGATGAATCTGGGTCATATCGCCAGTGGTGGTTAGTGGAGGTGGCGTCGCAGTGGTGTTGGCGCATTGCGCGAATGATCTGGCCACCTGAATTTGATTCCCGGGCCAATCCATGGCTCACGTCGTCGTTGGCGAGTGATCTCAGAATCCCATGCGGACGATGCAGCTGCACGGCGGAGGGGGACAGGGTTCCGGTGGGGGGGGGCAGGCACGCTCGACGCCAGGTCACGCTGAAGGGGGGTAATTGGACAAGGGGGGGGGCATTTAATTCCTTGGACCAGGGCCCATGCCAACCACGCTACGCCATCGTGCAGGACCGAGTTGTGGAGACAGAGCCGTCCCCGAGGAGTGCGGCGAATGGGGGCGACCGCCCCGGGCCCCACGCTTTGGGGGGGGGGGGCGCCGCGCTTCGACGTCACGGTGTCAGATGTAATTCTTTATTCTAAAGGCATGGGCTGGGGGGGGGGAAGAGGGCGCACATCCCACTCCGGACGGCCCTGCACCCAGGGGTCTCTTCTGGGTAAATAATTGACACCGCCACGTGGATGGCGGAGTGGTTTTACAGGAGGCAAACCTGTCTGTGCCGAGGCATTCTCAATAATTGAGCTTCGAGCGCAAAGAGGCTCCCCTGTACGTTTGTTTATGGAGATGTAAAATGGACTGCGCGCCATCCACACGCGGCACGCACAAGGCTCTTGGTTTGGGCGATACTGCGTTGGCAGCGGTGTGCAAAGTGACAAAAAAAAATAACGACACCAAACTAAAAACACATTCGTCAATAGCACCGTGGCCTTCAAGGAGACAATATATAACGGGTGAATTTAAGGGCAATGGCCCCTTTTCACATCACATACATGATGAAGGGCCATTGTCCGAAACGTCACCTATTATATACGATTCGTTTAAAGGGCACCGTGTTATTGACGTAAGCGTTGAGTTATTTTTTTCTTAATTTGAATCGGAGCTGTGTGTCGTGGGATACACCAAGACACAAGAGACAAACATCCCCCGTATAGCCCTTAACAGGCTGTTGGGGCAAGTGCTGCTCGCGAGCACCTATGAAGGCCCAACGTCACACGAGAAGATGGGTGGTCAGCACCACGCCCGACCGCCTTTGTCTCCCCAGTGACGATGTTTACACACCAGGCACGCATTTGAGGCCGAGGCGACCTAGGAGAGGCCCGGGACCGGTGTAGATAATCACTGATGTTGGCCGTGAGCGGTCCTCAAACTGGAGTCTTTGCCGGGTTCGTCGAGCAGTGTGGCGCTAACCACTGCGCCACCGCTCCCTACACGCGCGCACGTGCTGATTAGCCTAACGAAGCATCCTGCACGGGCTATGGGGGGGCGGGCGGGGGGA